GTCACCAATCTGCCCTTGCTCGACAGTGTTCCGGTGCCAGGCTCTGGGTGAAACCCAGTTCTATCCTTCAGCCTCTGCCTGAAGCCAATGCACATTCTGCTTGAGGGCAAGAGTTTTTCCTCTGAATGAACCGTTTCCCCTGAAGAAATTGGCTGAGTGGTATGGCTCCGGCTGATGAGTCAGAGAATGTAGTGTCTGCTCCCTGCAACACCATTTCCCAACTACGTAACCTCGGGCAAGCCACTTAACCTCGCTGAGGGGCAACATCCTAGACTCAAATCGGGATAATAATACCTCCTCTGCATCCTTACGGCTGGTTATTTTAAAGAGCGAGTGAGATAATAAATGGGAACTGGCCTTGAGATCTCTAAAATTAAGATATTAGTACTGAAGGGTGACAGCTTCCCTCACCCGGTCCGGTTATTTTAAACACATAATACAAGATCTTTCCATATTGCTGGCAATATGGAAGGAAACAGCTGCGGGTCCAAGCCAATTTTAGAAACCCGTGTTTTCGCAAAAAGAAGAGTCAACTTTCATCACGACAGCGTTGCTGGCCCAAGACGGCCACTGCCAGACAACAATGTAGAGACGGCCCAGCAGGTGTCAGCAGAGAACCAAGTTTGGGTACTCCGCCGGCTCACCGAGGGGTGGAGGGGACGTTGGGGCCGCTGGCGGAGACAGGGTTGGCGAGAGTCTGCCAGTCCAATCCTGCTGGGCTGCAGGTGGGCAGATTGGGACCAAGAGGTGGAAACAACTCTCCAACTCTACCTACAGAACTCTCATTGGCTCCAGGATCCTCTCCCTTCCAAGGGTCCCTTCCATTCCTGAAATGGACAATTCCGTGTCCCTCTCCGTCTTCAGGACCTGTGCTATCACTTGGAAGACTTGTCTCAAAGGAAAGAAAGGTTTGTTTGTTGTTTAGAGAAATATAACTTTGGGAGTGATTTCCTCTTTCCCTCTCAACACCAGAGTTGTTTTGAATGTATGATTTTTCACCTACACCTCCTTCTCCTACCCTAACATTGGGCTCACTCACAGGAGACCGAACCCCAGCTATTCAGATGCAGTAATTCAGCTAACCAATCCAGCTTCCACAAGGATAATGCATTGAGAGTGGGCAAGCGCTGTTTCAGAAACCAAACAGAACCTGTTGAATGAAGTACCAAATCTTAATGTGTTAAAGATGGCCTCTCATAGTTTACTGTTACGGGGACATGATTTCACTGCAAATATATGTGAGTCTATGTTGCAGTGAGCCATGTTGAAATGGGTTCTACTCTTAGGTTTTATGAGGTCTGAGGTCTTTCCTGGCTGGGGGTGAAGGGGAAGGTGACTTGGAGAGACAGAGAAGTAGCTCTTTGCAACAGGAGCAAACCCCAAACTGCTTGCTTGCCCTACTGCCCAGTCTCTAAGACCCCTAGTGAGCACATGAGTGTGTGTATATGTGTGTGTGTGGGGGGGGTGGTACACATGTGTGCAGTGGTACATCGTAGGAATGGAAGGAAGGGCATGTGTGAGAAACTCTGTGAGAGGAAAGAGCAAATGGGATCAGACCCAGAAGATTTTCTGAGGCTCTGAAGCCAGATCTGTGGGCTGGAGGTCAAGGGCACGGCCATGATCACATAAAGAGATGGCCACCTACCAGTCTGCTACACCTGGGGAATGAGAAAAAGGCAAAAGAAGAAATCAGTGACTATGGAACTTGTGGTCCTATCACATTGTTACTTGCCTTTCCTTCCCCATATCAGAGTCTAACTATCTTCAGAAAAACTCTGGAACTCTATTTAGTTCTAGAAGAATGAAAGTTTCCAGGAAAAGGGAGTTGGGGCCTGCTTAGAATAATCCAGGGTGTGTGTGTGTGTGTATGTGTAGCCTCTAGAGTCCTAAACTCCAGTATCTAGCATCCAAAAGGAACAGAGTTCCCATACCCACCACTAAATGTGAGCGCTGAGCCCCACAGTCTATAAATCTTGAGCTGGCAGAATGACAACAGAATATATGCAAATTCCTGCATTACTACAAATCTCTCATATCCTCAGCTGGGTAAGCTATGTTTCCTTTTCTTTCTGACTGTGAATATTTAATTATTTCCTTCTTTTTCTTTGAAACCAGGAGGTACCGTGATTGAAATAATATTCAAAATAAAGGCAGGGGGAGTCCCAAGTCCACAAAGCAACTGCTTTGCACATTATTTTGCCCAACACGTAAAAGGAAAAACAAAAGCAGATAGCAGATCTGGACATCTTAAGCCCTTGCGGAGTTACATCACTGCAATAAACAAAGGTCTGCAGTCACTCTCTTTGAGCTTTTATGCTCAACTGGTGTGTATCTGTGTCTCCGGGTTTAGGACAAGAATTTGCACTGGGATTTCAGTATGGGGACTCTAAAAACACAGGGACAACCAAAGGGTAAGGGGACCCGTCTCTTGCTCCGGTCAATGCCTTAACCTCTGATTCAGGCCCCTTCTTTCAATCCTAGATCCCCATAAGCAAAATTGTTCCATTATAAAAGGGACCTTACCTGGCATTGTCCATTCCCAGTACGGTGAAATAGATTTTGGCTGTGTCTACCCAGCAAAAGAGAAGGGGAGAGTTGAATGCGTTAAAGACAGCCATGAGAATCGATCAGAAACCCCTACCTCTGCTGCTCTCTGTTTTCAATTGTAATTTGCCAGCACAGCTTGGCGGCCTCAGACGAAATTGTCTTTACAGATGAGCTTCCTCAAAGACAGCACAGCCACATTTACGCTCAAGTTAATTGGGTTAAGTGAGGCCCTCTGCACTCCTGCCGGAGCCGGGAGCCTCGTGGCTACCAGGCCCCGGGAAGCCCTCGCCTCTGCCCCCAGGGCCTCCCCGCCCGTCTCAATTGCTCTGGACCAGTTCATTTCGCCACAGCTCGGAGCCGCTCGGAAAGCAAAGATTAAAGGGGAAAGTCGCAGCTGTATATTTATATTTTCATTGCTAGAAGGGAATTGATTTCCGCGCATTTATTTTGGTAGTTGTAATACACAAGGGCGGATTTGCGTCACCCGAGCAACTTGTCGGTGGAGATAAAGTTGCACAAATATTGAAAGGGGAAGTGCTAGGAGTCATTATAGAGTTTTTCTCCGGAAGAAATAAGGATTTCTGCAGTATCCTAAAATACTAAGGCCGCTTCTATTTTGAGACCAATCTCGCAGGCACATCCGCTCATTTAGTACGAGTTTGAGCCCATCAAAAAACAGGAGATGACCTGAACTCCGGCGAGCCCGGGGTTTCCTGCTGCTTTCTTGGTTCTGAGGGGTGGGCAGTAAGGAGGAGGGGAGTCAGCGGGCTCAGAAGAGGGCGAGGGGCCTGCAGCGGCGAGACCTGATCCCGGGGAAGGGGTGTGTGTTGGGGGGCGGCGGGGGAAGCAGGGCGTCGCTTCACAGGTTTCCTTTTTTGCTTTTCCCTCCAGGAGCTCGGTGTAGGCCCGGGTGGCGCAGACGCGGTTGCAGTGGAGCCGAGGGCCTGGAAGAGCAGGGGGCGCGCGCGAAGTTGCAATTTAGAACCAAGCCGCGGGCCTTTCGGGGACACAGAAGAGCGCGCGGCGGGGCTAGGAGTGCGCAGGAAAACCCTGATCCCGGGCCTCGTCTCCGCCCCGGCCTTGAAATGCTGCAGATGCGGGTCGTGGGCGCCTCGGGACACCCGGAGGGCCCGCGTTCCGCCTAGTCGGCACCCCGCGCCCACTCCCCACCTCCCCAGGGACGTGCTTATTTGGGGGCGAGAGGCAGGGGTGAGGCCTAAAGACGTCGCCTTTGGAACCTTGAGTTTGAACTTAGGCGCCGCTGTTGAAATGTTTGCAGTCAAATCGGAATTAGAAGTGACACTAGAAAAGAGAAGAAAAGGGGGTTTATGGCCGTCCCCACACACTCGCGCTGGTGACTGTCCGTGGGGGCTCTGAAGGCCGCGTCCTTCCAGCCGAGTCTCGCCATAGTCCCCGGCCCCACCTCCACTGGGGCACTTCAAGGAGGGTCCAACACCCCATGCGGCCTCATACCTGTCACTCCTTTGCCTCTGTCTAGAAACCGGACTGGTCTTCCTGGATCTGTTGCCCCAGATGCCCCTGTCCTCAGGCGATTCAACAACTCCATTCCATCTCTGGAAATAACACCTCTGTCCTTGCAGCAAGGAGCAAGGCACAAAAACCCTTTAGTAAAAGAGCGACCTAGGGAGGGGGAGAGAAAGACAGAGAGCCGATGGAGGCATGGGCAGGGGACAGGCAGGAGGGGATGTCCCATTGCTGCATGGCCGGAAGTGATTGATCAGTGATTGATTACTTTCCAGGAGAAAGTCAAAAGCTTAAAATGACAGCATCTGTAACAAGAGGCTAGAAACCACTAGAAATAAATTTAATTAGCCCCAATCTTGAATTTGACCCAGGCATGGCAAGTTCAGTTGCCCTTCTGGGTTGATTTGGTAAGACCTCTTAGTGCTGAAGTGAAATAAAAAAAATGTCACAGAAGCTTTAATGCAACTGTATTAAAAGTTTTTTGCGGGGAGGGAGACATGCCTCAGAAGCACAGAAGATCAATTAGGAGATGCTTATTAGGGCAATCGAAAACAAAAGATTTCGTGGTTTCATTATTGTTATTATTTTATTTTCTTCCTGAAAATGTGCAAGAAGAGCTCATCTGGGTGGCCTGTGGTTTGTTTGGGAGAGGGGTGGGGAAATCCATTCTGACTGTAATTTAAAAGAGAAGGAATTCTTAAAATAGAGATGTTGATGTTGCAGAAAACCCCCACTACACCCACCCCCACTACACCCACCCTGCGCTCTAAAGACCCGAAGCACGAATGGAAGGCGTCGGCCTCCACTGCAGCTTCTTTTGCGACCAGGCCCAAGGGCTTCCTGGGGAAGCAGTCACTGAATTGAAAGTAGTATTTAACCCCAAAGAAATGTGCTCTTGTGGGCACTTGCAAAACAATGGACCCCACGTGATCTGGGGTTGTGGTGGAGCTGGGAGGGCGACATTTCCTACGAGGTGCAGCGGCGGAGGGGACGCGCGTGCCGCTTTCCCGGGTTTCGGACGGCGGCCTGTTTGGTTGTCGTCTGAGGCTCGGGGGAGGGTTTGGCTGCGTCCAAGGGAGACGTTCGGAGACATCCATCTTATTTTGTTTGAAAAGTTGCTCGTCCAAGTTGTCACTGGGTGACAGCTTGGACTAAAGCTAATTTGCGAACCGCCCCTCCTCTCTTCCCTGAGGCTCTCGGAGGCAGCGCCGCGGACGCGGTGCTAAATTGGGCGGGGACTTCGGACCCCAGCTTTCTGGAGCCAGAGCTCAGAGCTGAGCAGCTTGGCAGCGGGAGCCCACGAAGGATGAGGACACCGACTTTCGGGATAAAGGCCGAGTGAAGAAAAATCAGGCCCGAGTGAGGTCAGGAGGAGGGAATCCAGGGGGCCACCCCCGTGTTCCAGGAGGCGGGCTTTGCACCCGTGAAAATACACAGAAGCACCCGCTTCTCTGGGCAAGCGCTGGCGCTGGGACCAACTCTCTACGTCCGATGTCGGTTTGGAGCTGCACAAGTTAGGGGAGGGTCAGAATTCCCTGGAGCCTCCGCCCGGGCCCCTACGCAGGGGACCCCGCTCAGCCCACGCGGCAGCAGCAAACACTTTGGCGTGGCCGGGGCGTGGCCGAGGAGGTGGGCCACGCCCCTCTTTCCCAATTCCCGTCTACTCCCCGCTCCCATTGGTCATGAGGATGGCCAATGAGCACTCGGATCGAGGTCCTACCCTGGGTCTGACTCCGAAGCTCCTGCCAAAAGTTTGGGAGTTTTTAGAGAGGAGTTTTTTTTTTTTTTTTTTTTCCTTTTTTTTTTTTTTTTTTTTTTAAACTAACGGATTATTATTGTTGTTGTTTTAAATTTAGCTCTTAGGGCTTAGCTGTTTGGGTTTTCTTTTGGTGCCCAGCCCCTGTCTCCCCGGCTTCCCTGGCGTGTGCGGAGCCGCGGCCCCCGCCCGCCCAGCAGCTCCAGCGCCCCTCTCTCGCCTCCAGCCCGCGGGGAGCGCGGGCGCCGCGCCGCCTTTAAAGTGAGGCCACGGGCCGAGGCTGTGCCCGGCCGGGATCCGGGCCTCGCCTCTTCCCTCGGTGGCGCTAGGGCTCCCTGGCCTGTCTTCAGCGCGGACGGAGAAGCGAAAGCGGATCGTCCTCGGCTGGGCTGCCGCTGCCTCCGGGACTCAGCGCGCTCCTCCCCGCGCACCCACCCACCCACTGGGCCGGGCCCGGCCGGGCCGCGGCGGCAGCTCGGCTCACCCAGCCAGAATGTTCGCCGCCGGGCTGGCTCCCTTCTACGCCTCCAACTTCAGCCTCTGGTCGGCCGCCTACTGCTCCTCGGCGGGTCCGGGCGGCTGCTCCTTCCCCTTGGACCCCGCCGCGGTCAAGAAACCCTCCTTCTGCATCGCAGACATCCTGCACGCCGGCGTGGGGGAGCCGGGGGCGACCGCGGAGGGTCTGGCGGGGGCCTCGGCCGCCGCCCTCACCGCTCACTTGGGCTCGGCTCACCCGCACGCCTCTTTCCAAGCTGCCGCCAGATCCCCGCTTCGACCCACCCCGGTGGTGGCGCCCTCCGAAGTCCCGGCTGGCTTCCCGCAGCGGCTGTCTCCGCTCTCAGCCGCCTACCACCACCATCACCCACAGCCACAGCAGCCGCAACAGCCTCCGCAGCAGCCACAGCCTCCGCCTGCGCCCCGGGCTGGCGCCTTGCAGCCCCCTGTCTCCGGGGCGCGGGTGGTCCCGAACCCCTCGCATAGCGGCTCGGCCCCGGCCCCCTCTAGCAAGGACCTCAAATTTGGAATTGACCGCATTTTGTCTGCAGAATTTGACCCCAAAGTCAAGGAAGGCAACACGCTGAGAGGTAGGTCTTGGGCGAGAGGCTGCAGGCCTCTCTCTGGCCACGGCCCTGGCGCACTCCCCGTCCCAGGGCCATTTGGGATGCCTTTGAGTATTTGCACAATTAAGGACAAACCGGTAAAATGAGGGAGAAGAGAGTGAATTGTAAGAAGACTGTGAAACGTTAGGTTTAAAACTCACCTGCTCTGCGTTTAAAAAAAAAAAAAAGATTCCAGGGATGCTTGAAAAACACACGTCACAGAATCATTATTCATAAAAATCGTTGGTGTAAATATTTGCTGAAATGACTATCATCTGTCTCTTGAATCATGTATCTAGAGGGAGAACTATATTAATTTGACAGGGAAAGCCCTTTTGGGGAACACTTTCCCTTCCATTTTTCTGATTTCTAGTGAAATTCCACTCAAGGAATGTAGGTAAACAAAATAGACCCCGGGCTCCCAAGAGAAAGCGGAGTTGGGGCTCCTTCACTGGGGAGGGGGTAGGTCTGTGGAATTCTAGCCAAGCACCTGGAAGTGACTTCCTTTTGGCCATTTTATATAAAGCCCTTCCTTGCTGTATGTGTAGACGTGGACCTGTGGGCTACACGCAGGAACATTTTGCGCATCGCCCCTTGGCCACTGTCGGGAGAGTGGTGTTTTGGCGCGGAGACAAGTGTCTCTCGTGACTTCGCTCCAGGAAAACCGAATCGAGGGGGAGGGGAGGAACAACTCAGTCCGAGAGAGTGTGGCTTTGCCCGAGGTGTAACCAGCTCTTTTCTCTCGCCTCCAGACCTCACGTCCCTGCTAACCAGCGGGCGGCCCGCAGGGGTGCACCTCCCCGGCCTGCAGCCCTCCGCCGGCCAGTTCTTCGCGTCTCTAGATCCCATTAACGAGGCTTCTGCCATCCTGAGCCCCTTAAGCTCGAACCCGAGGAATTCAGTTCAGCATCAGTTTCAAGACACGTTTCCAGGTACGGAAACCCTCCCGAGCGACGGCCTAACGGGGCAGGTCGACTGGCCCCAAACTGAGGACGGCTCACGTGGCCACCGCGGTGCAGCAATCCCGGAGTTGGTGAAGGAGGCTACCAAGTCCGGAGACAGAAACCGAAAGAGTTCTCAGATAGCTAGCTCACTCTTTTGTCGGCTCCCGGGGGGCGGGGGTGGGAGCGGTGGGGGACCTGGGGGTGCCGAGAAAGTGTGTGCGTGGGCGGGCGGGGCGAGGTGGGGTGAAGGGGCTTTCCCTAGTCTTTTCTCCGGAGAGTGGCTTGAAAATGCAGCAAGAGGTGTTGCCTTTTTAACACAATACAGAGTTAGGAATGACCTCAAACACTTTGCCCAAGGGGGTTCCGTTTGCTCGCACGTTTGCAAGAACGTGTTCATACACACACGTACACACACGTACACACACGAGAGTCAAAGCTGTCATCTCTCCATCCTTCAGGCCCAAGGGACAGTGTCGCCTACTTTTCGCATGCCCCAAAGGCCACGCGTTAGGTTTATGTTTTTTCTTTGGAATTAATCGACGAAGCGCGGGACTTCTCCACGCCACCCTTGCTTTAGGCCTTAAGCCTGAAGTCTTAAGAGCTGTAGGATTCCTCGGTAGGGAGGCCATTCCGCGTCTGCGTGAAGGACTTTCTGAATGGGGGCTCGACTGTTTAACGCAAAACACTTAGAAGCAGCACGGTGAGTCCCGGGCGCGCAGCCCGCGGACCGGGGGGCACTGACTCGGCCCTCCTGTCTTTCTCTCGCTCCCGCTCCCGCCCGGTGGCAGGTCCCTACGCCGTGCTCACGAAGGACACCATGCCACAGACCTACAAGAGGAAGCGCTCCTGGTCGCGGGCGGTCTTCTCCAACCTGCAGAGGAAAGGCCTGGAGAAGAGGTTTGAGATTCAGAAGTACGTGACCAAGCCCGACCGAAAGCAACTGGCAGCGATGCTAGGCCTCACGGACGCGCAGGTAAGCCGGCTCTGGCTCCCGCGCGCAGCTCCCTCGCGGGGTGGGGGGCAGCAGCGCGGCCTAGCCCCAGGCCGCCCTCCACCCCGGCCCACTCGGCCTTTGCCACGGAGACGCAAGGTCTTGAATTTCAAGAGACAATGTAGGCGTCGAAACTTGAGTCTGGGGGGTGGGGGGTGGGGGGGAGAGAAGGACGGAAAGAATAGCCCATCCCCAAAGATGTATGTCAACAAGCACTGCATGTTTATTTTGGCCAACAGGCGAAAGAACCGCGGAGAAAGCAAATAGGCCGCAGGAGATAATAATTATGTACTCGACTGTAGTGCAGTTCGCTGTAGGAGGCAGTTTATTTCAGAAGAGATAAAAATCCAAAGTCAAGAGATTGTTGTTGGGTTTTTTTTTTTTTCCCCCCTCCTCCCGTCCTTCCTCCCTCCTCCTCCTTCTGCTGCCGCTGGATTGTGAAATCCCCATTTGTGAGGAAGTGAAAACATCATTTCAAACGGAATGACTTAGCCCTAGCAGGGTGAGGAGTGCACTCCTCAGCAGCCAGTCAGTCCGATTTTCTAACGAAAGAAGCTCCTAAGAAAATCTCCGGGGGGGGCGGGGGGGCAGGAGTGAGAGAGAGAAAGGAAAAAAGATTTTCTTAGAATACTCAAGAGCATTTCAGCAGGTTCTGCCTACTTGGGGTTTTTTGTTTTTCCAAGACAATGGCGAATCTATCGTGTTTGAATTCAATTTCTGAGTCCAATTTTTTTTTTTTTCTTTTCTCCAATTCAAGAACTGGACTTTTTGGGGGGTTTTGGAAATAGAAGAGTTACGGTTCTTCCATACCCCACAGCAGCGGGGCCTTTGCTCCCTGGGTGCTCAATGTTCTGAGTAGGGCAGAAGTCAAAGGCAGGCACCTTTTCATAGCTCCTTTAGGGCCCCCCTCACCCCCCCTTTTCTTTCTGTCCTCCATTACACAACTCCCCTCCCCAACACACTGGAAGAGCCCAGCCGTTTTCCACCAGCTGTGGATGTTATTTTTAAAAGGGAAGCTGGAACTTGTGTGAACAGCATTGGGTCCCCCAGGGGATTGTATATATTTATATAGATTCTCCACCCCATCCCTACCCCCTTCCTCCACTTTGCACAGGTTTAATTCCAGCATTTTCTAAGCCTGCAGAAGGATTAGTTTATCCCGGGCAGGGGCAGAGTCCTTATCAGCTTCTGAGTACACACATGCCAAGGAAATGCTCTTCAGCTGAAGGTCCAGCAGTGCCCCCACCCCACTGGGATTAACTCTTTGAACCCTCTTTCCCCTCTGTGCTTCCCACGGTTTCTCCTTAAGAAGAACTGCTTTTGTCGAAACTTGCCTTGGGTGGTGGCAGTCGAGGAGAGGACCAGCTTAGCAGGAATTCTTAACATTGGTTCACCAAACCCTTGAAATCCTGGGTATATTTTTTTCTGAGCCAGGGGTCCATAATTTAATCAGATTCTTGGAGAGTCCTGGCTCAAGTGGGGTTAAGAAGCATTGATTTAGAGCAGAAATCGCCCTTAGTTTGAGCCCGAGGTGCAGGACTCCGCCTTTCAACAAGCATCCAGGTCATTTCAGGATCAGGTCTGGAGGGCCACATTTTGAGAAACAGTCCTCGCGGGTTCCGTAGGCGAGCGTCCCCGGCGATGTCTTTGTTTCCCTGGGCTGCCCCTCGGCCCCTGAGCCGAGCCCAGTGCCCGGTCCGTGGTAGAGGCGCGGGGGGCCGGGGCTCCAGGCTGCACGCGAGTCGAGCGCCGAGAGCCCACGTCTCATCTCGGTGTCCCTTCTTGTCTCCCCACGTGCTGCGGCGCAGGTGAAGGTGTGGTTCCAGAACCGGCGGATGAAGTGGCGGCACTCCAAGGAGGCCCAGGCCCAGAAGGACAAGGACAAGGAGGCGGGCGAGAAGTCGTCGGGCGGAGGTGCGGCTGCCGACGGCGAGCAGGAGGAGCGGAGCCTCAGCCGCTCGGAGGGCGAGGCCGAGAGCGAGAGCAGCGACTCCGAGTCTCTGGACATGGCCCCCAGCGACACGGAGCGGACTGAGGGGGCCGAGCGGTCTCTGCACCAGACCACGGTCATCAAGGCCTCGGCCGCGGGCGCCCTCCTCCC